CAAACCAACACTAAATTTAGAGCTAGGCGCCAAGGCTTGTAAAACAGAGCTCCCAAGTTTTCCGTATTCTCACTAAATTGATGGGATAGTAATTTTGGTTATTTAATATTAACATCTGAATGATGAGACACATCATAACATCCTGTTATAATAAGATTAAAAAAACAGTCAGGTGTTATCTATTGTTTACACTGTTCCGAATGACATATAGTCACAGATGCCTCAATCAGGCACATTCCAGAATCTGTTTGTCGAAGGTTTTGCGAGTCAGAGGGGGAACACTCAGGACACTGTTTTGGCATTGTGGGGCAAGAATATCTGTCATCGTTTGATTTGTAAAATGTCGGGTGGTATTGGGTTGGTGGGCTGCTCTCAGTCTCCAGCTCGCCGAGAGGTTTGGCGTACCAGGGTCGGGGACCAAGTACGGAAATGCGAGATGTTGGGTGTTTTTGTGTTTTTTAGTGTAGTGTTTTTGAAATTGTCGTTGGTTTTGGGCTTGCTTTATGGTCGGGCTAACAACAATTGGTTGTTGGGATTGTTTTTTAAACCATGAATGCGAGCACAGGCCGCCCGCTTCATTCAGTCCGTAGGTCTGGACCCCTCGTTGATTTGGCTTGAATCCAAAATAGATCACTGCCACACCGAGAATCGAGATGTGTAGGTTTTGTAAACACATTCCATTTCACATTTTAGAATTCCCCGCGAGTAAGTCACACGTTGTCTCCCGCTTGCGCTATTACTTATTATTTGCTGCTATACGTCCACACACGTGTCCTGACTGGCTGTGGTGTCAGCCCCGCCCTCAGCGCGCATGGACGGCAGCCACAGCTCGTCTGGCAGCCCAGAACAGCGCTCCCTAGCTCAAAATGCTGGTAACATCCTTATGGTGAACGGCAATTTAATCGAGCTCAGAAAAAGTGTATAGGAGTCCATTTTATTTATCGTACGATAAGTCAATTTATCGATTATCGCGACAGGCCTAGCCGACGCCGACTGTTGCGTCGCCGGACTCTCCTGCGTATTTGCCGACTTCGCGCACTGGAACACACCGCAAATCCGAGCCGAGCACGTATGAACTGCGTATGCGTGAGTGGCAATAACTCTCCTTACCAGCAGGCGGCGGTAGTGTGTATTCATCATTCAAAAGAGGCAACAACCGGAACAACCGGAAGAAGAACAGACTGATATAAACAAACAATAAATAGCGTTTTTCTTTCCATTTTCACTCTCGTCCATTGAAAACATGAACGAACAGGAGCTCTATAAACCGATGAGGTGAAATAGCCGCCCGTGTTCCATCTTCCATTTTAAATAATTTGTTTACCTCCCTCACTTCCGTTAACGCTTCTCATGCACTGATTCGCTAGCTGAACAGCCAATCAGTGTTATCCCTTTGTCCGACTTCCGGTGGTGTTCCCGACGCCGATTAAAGGCGTCAGGTCGGCAGAAAAGACCCGACGGTGCGGCGCACACCACTCCGAATAGGGCGTGCCCACGCTCATGTTCGGCCCGACTCCCATTTACTGCCGATTTCGGGCCGGTGTATCTGGGCCTTAATGCTGATGTGGCCCGTGATTAAATTGAGTTTGACACCCCTGGCCTAAATGATTAGATACAAGAGAAGAAAAG